TTCTCGACTCTCAAAGCTAGGGCGTCCATCTTCGCATTAATCATGTCCATGCAACTTACCTCATGCTTTCCTCCATGGCTCTCCTTTTTCTCTACTGTCGCTCGTTCTAATCCCCACTGGGCGTGGTTTTGGGCCATGTCCTCTATTAGGGCACAAGCGTCAGGGTAAGGTTTGTTCATCAACGCTCCGTCAGCGGCAGCGTCTATGAACATCTTTGTGTTGTAATGGAGTCCATTATAGAAGGTATGTATGATTAACCATTGCTCCAGGCCATGGTGCGGACAAGCTCTTAAAAGTTCTTTATATCTCTCCCAGGCATCAAAAAGTGATTCGCCTTGGTTTTGGGTGAAACAAGTGATCAGGTTCCTAAGAACAGCGGTCTTGCTTGGTGGAAAATACCTCGCAAGAAAAGCTCTCCTAAGGTCTTCCCAAGTTGTTATTGAGTTAGTTGGAAGGGCGTCTAACCAGTCGTGAGCTTTACCTCTAAGGGAAAAAGGAAACAGTCTTAAACGGATAGCTTCGGGTGAGGCTCCATTTGCCTTAAGGGTGTCAGCTAACTGGATAAATACCTTTAAATGTTGATTCGGGTTCTCGGTAGCGAGACCAGCGAATTGGTTTTGTTGTACTAATTGTAATAATGAGGGCTTTAGTTCAAAGTTGTTGGTAGTTATAGCAGGGTTTACTATACTAGAACTAGGTTCCTCGTTAGATGGTTGGGCGAATTCCTTGAGCGGTCTTTGGTTACGATCTTCTGCCATAGCTCTTCTTATCTTGCGTATAAAAAGACGGTCACGAGCGTAACGTTCAGGTTCTACTAAAGGATCTATTAGGTTACCGGTGTTACGATTTCTACGCATCTACCGGCTAGAATAGCCTTGGTCTTTACGGGATAACAATAGGGTACGAAATTTGACGAAGTTGGTCCCCGGCAACGGCGCCAAAAACTTGATGGGTTTAATCTGTAACGTATAGCCTAAATGTAGTACTGCAAGTGTACAGCCTATCGAAGTAATATATAAGATTATCGAACCACAGAGACCAATTGTCAATCTGTCAACTCTATTGCTAAGGTGCTTATCTAAGGCAAACAAGAATGTTGATGTGAGTGCAGTGCACAAAGTAAATGAGCGAGGTAAATAACAGTTTAAAAGACAGGTTGGAATGTAAATCATGCAATCAGATATTGGTCCGGTCATGCGTAGATGAACCTACTTATGGGGCAGTATTTTCTATTGATAGCAAAGAATCAATTTAACGGGAACTTGTAGCTTTTGACTACTAAGAACCGAGTTTACTCTTTAAATTAAATTCCTTTATTGTCACATATAAAGGGTGCCTTCCGCGTTAAAGAGGTAAACCTATTTTTAAGAAATTGATAGTTTTGACTTAACAGAAAAGTAATTTTACTTGGAAAGATTAACTTAAAGAGACTTTTGGCTTTTGACCAAGAGTCAGATTTCAAACCTACAAACGCGTCCGAAAATAGTTTCAAAATCGTTTTCTAAAAAGGTCAATGATTCATATTTAACCAATCAACGGCTTTCGCTCTTTTTGTTTGGTTAAATAATAATCAAGTCGTATCATTAGTTTGGACGGCTTTCGATCTTACCCAATAAACATTTAAACATAATTGACTTAAGTTAAAAGCAAAACATCCCCAGAGTATTTTCACTAACATGATAATTGGAACACGACCATGATGACAATCATTACATCCAAACCTTTATAGTTTAGCCAGACATAATAAGTGCGAGTCTATAAAACGTGTAGACTATGGTAAGAGCATTTAAAGTCTATAAAACGTGTAGACTATGGTAAGAGCATTTAAAGTCTATAAAACGTGTAGACTATGGTAAGAGCATTTAAAGTCTATAAAACGTGTAGACTATGGTAAGAGCATTTAAAGTCTATAAAACGTGTAGACTATGGTAAGAGCATTTAAAGTCTATAAAACGTGTAGACTATGGTAAGAGCAATTATAAGTAAAGAAATGCAATAAAATAGAACCTTGCTCCAGTCGGAGACTTGAATCTGATACAAATCTACGGAATGGTAAGGCTGGTATGATGAACTTCAACCAAAGTGCTCCAAGACTCGATTACAACTCAATCTACACCGCAATAACTCCCCGATGTGAAGAGATTATCACTTTACAGAAACTGATAGTATATGGCTTAAGATTGTACTAAGCTTGGATGAAACTAAAGAATGAAAAATGAAAACTATTTATAGAGGATCCTTGAGGTGCGTAAAGACCAGCATGCCCCTTAACTTCTTTTGAGCGGGAAGCTTTTTGTGAAGGCCGCGGGCGCGGTGGGGGTGGCCGCGGGCGCGGTGGCTGGAACTGCCACATCATGGGAACGTGGCAGTTGATCTCTGGGTGAAAGTGGGCCACGTCATCGCGTTCCCTGTAGCCAGCGCGGCGCTGAACGCCATAAATGCAGAATATCTTGAAAAACCCTAAATTCTTGGCGTTTTGGCTCGTTTCTTCACAGAAGGCTCTGAAATGACAAGGATCCTGAAAACAAAGGAAAAAGGAACATAATACGGGAAAACGATAATAAAAACTAAGGAAAACATGTGATATTTGAGTCAGAAACATAGTGCGATTTAGTGCGATCAGTCATCACGTGAAACAAAGGCTTCCTCCTAGTGTACGTGATCATGAGATGAGGACCCCTGTGAGAGGAAAATCCTAGATGTTGGCGCTTCCCCTTCATGAGGCATCAGGACGGTTTCCTGTATAGCTCTAGCCTGCTCATTTTAAAGATCCCTTTTCATGGCGAGCAGACACAGTTAGGGTGTCACGATCGAGTCTCATTCTATTGTTGTTTGTAGCTATTCTTTTGAAAAAAATGAACAAAGACATTTGTTTTAAATTATGTAAATTCTATAACAGGAAGGACCAAATTCGAAGATGCATCTCTGAAAACCAGAAAGGACCCATTTTGGAGATGCATCTCAGAAAAGCTTTGTGTTTTACTTCAATGGAAAAAGGTTCTTAATCTTGCCTTAACCACCCTAAAATATTCCAAATTACAGTGCATGTTTGTAATATTACCTATTTCAAATTCTATTAATACCTAATGCTTTAAAAGTAAACTATTTTACCTAATACATTAATTAAAAGTCAAAAAAGTTAAATGAGAAATTTACTCAAAAAAAGTGTTGATAAGGATGAATATTTTTAATGTAGTAGGTGGAGTGAGTAGGTATTGGTAAGATTAATGTGGAGGTTCTTCTGTTGCTTGAAAAATTGACTGGAACAATGTTGCTCATCAGCTCCAATAGGGAAAGAAAAATATTCAGCAAAATGGAGAAGGAGGAGATGGAATGTCTACATGTGTGATATTGTTGTAATTGGTTTGAAAATTCAGAGTCTCCACCCTTAATTTTTATCCTAAGGAAGGGAATATAAAGGATAACCCTAAAAAGTTAGAGATTCTAGGTTCTTTGGACTCGGTTCTAGATGAAGGGAAGGTGTTAGGCACCCCTCATCTACCTTGTTCGCGAGGATACTAGGGTTAGAAGCGCAATTTTAGGAAATAGGGGTTTAATGTTTTATTAGGGGAACTCGCCATGATTTTTAGTCGTGTGCCTATGTATCCTCTTAGGAGGAATCAGATCCTCAATTCGTAGTTCGCAGTTTGGTTGGTGTTTTTTATAGGATTGCATATAATTATTTTCGAATTTATCCTTGAACCTTATCTAGGTTTTGTAAAAGAGTGATCGTAGACGCATTTTGTAGTTTAATTTCGAAAGAAATTCTCCTTGATCCTTTTTTGAAAACATCATGAATTTTTATTAGGTTAGTAGCAAAATGATTTGAATTATTGGTTAGCTGGTTTGAGACGTATAGCGGGGGAGTCTGATATAGTCTTCTCATCCTCATCACATGGTCAGATATTGGCCACATGTCATTCGCGGATGGTGAATTGGGTGAGTTGCATGGATTTTAATTGTTTGATTTTTGAATAATAAACCGGTAGACAATGTGTTGACTGATTTAATTACTCGAAGATGAACATCCTATTATTTATAGAATATTTGAATTAATTTAGTTGTGAAAATTGTTTTATATACCAATAGGTGATGATATTTGAATTAGTCAGCTAACAAAAGCAAAATTGACCTTAAATGAGAAATATTCTAATTAATCTAGATGAAATTAATCCTAAATAAAATCAATTTAAAAACTAACCAAAATAAATATCTATTAAGTGCTAAATTATAATTAATGGAGTATGTTTTTGTATTTTTATATAAAGCAAAGATAATTATCCTAGGTTAGATAGACGAGATTAATTAGATTAATAAAATTGACTTAATTAACTAACACTAACCAAATATAATAATCAACATAAAATAATGCTAAAGAATAGAAAAAAATCAATTAAATGTTGGGGACTCCAACAAAACCCTAACTTCCATTTAATTAAAGAATAAGATAAACTCACATTTTAAAGAAACAAATACCGATGGGGGCGCCTATTTCCTGTTCTACATGAGTGAACTTTCACAATAACTTCATCAGCCAATAATATGACGGCACAGGGCAATTTAACATAAAATAAGAACAACAAGAATAAACACCTGTTAAAGAAGAGAGACCCCAAATTTCAGATCTCATCTCTTCCGCCTTTCTTCTTCCATAAAATGCTTTACTATGAAATTACTACATAATACACAAGATGCAATCAACAACACAAAAAAGAAACAAAGGAGAATCATCAACCAGAAGCGGTGGTGCGATTGATCCGCGTGCATGTGGTCGACGGTCAGAGATATCAGATCGTGGAAGAGATGTCGTTGGTGCATAGATCATGGCGACTTTCTTAAGTTATCGCGGCAAAGGACTCGCCGGTTGAAGCGTCGTTGCGGTCTGCTCACAGAGGAAGGTCCGGTTCTGCCATGGAAGTGATGTTGACGGTGACATCATGATGCAATTACGCTGATGGTGATGAGGGCAGTTGGGTGACCAGCCGCGAGATCAGGGGTGTATGGCTCGATCTGAGATGGAGGATGCATCATGGTTATATGTTGGTGGTGATTGGTGCAGTACTAGGCGGTGGTCGGTTGTGTTCCTGGAGAAGATGCAGCGACCGAAGGTTGTTGCGATGAGGAGCCAATCGATTATGATGCGGCAGATGAAGGGAGTGCAGCAGAATCTAATCGGTGATGAGTTGTGGAGTTCGGCGACGGGTCCGTCGAGCGATAACAGACTGCCATTCGTCGGTAGAGGCTTTGATTCCACTTTTTCTTCCTTTTACTTTTCCTGCAAAACAAATTTGTAGCATAGTGTTGTAGCAATTGAAATGATCATGGCTGTTGTGGTTGTTTGGATACCAGTTTCGTGTTTTTACAGGTTGTGCTTCATGATAGTGAGACGTGAAGGGATTTTAGGTGAGGTGCGATTTGGTTTAAGGGGAGGTCGAAGATAAGGCTGGAAGGTGGTGATCATGTGGTGGTTTGAGATAGGCGATCGCTTTGGCGGAGAGTTCTGTGTGGTGTGTCGGTGGAAGTGTACGAACAGAGGGGATTCTGGTTGCGATGATATTGGCTGAATTGTGAAGCGCAAAGCTTGCAGGAGTTTTGTTGCAGATGTTTGCGGTTGCAGCTGCGTTGTTAGACGAAGATTGTCGGTGATGCTTCCGCGGGAACATGGCTGCATTAGATCTTTTCCTCTTATCAGTCATGATCTGTTTGCTTTAAAAAATATTGAGCTTGTGTTTAAAGGTTGTTTTAATGGCTTTCACCTTCTCCTTCTTTTCCATTTTTCCTGTAAAAAAAACAACAACAATGTAAATGTGTTTGAATAGAAAAGTTTTTTGGTCTTTGATGTTGATCACGTTGGTTGTCCCTTTGTTCTTTTTTCAATTGACAACAACAACTTTAAGGGTTTGAAGAAGCATTATTATTATTATTATTATTATTATATTATTATTATTATTATTATTATTATTATTATTATTATTATTATTATTATTATTATTATTATTTGCTCTGTTTGCAAACTTTTGTTATGCGTCTTATATGGTATCTGTAGATTGTTAGTAATAACAGATAAAAATGTTTGGTGAACATATGGCTTGGTTGTTTTGAATGGTTTTGAAGTAAAAGAGGTGATGGTGAGCTTACAGGGACTGTTTGCCTAAGGATTTGGTTTTCATGTAAACATGATGAAAAAAATAAGGTTACTCATCGATAAAGTTTTGACTAGGAGGCTAGTATGTTAAGAATTTTGACTTATGTATGTTTAAGAAAATATGTACAAGGTGTCAATGAAGAAGAGTACAATTGTTAGTAGTGAAAAATATATAGTGAGTGGAATCGTTAGTGAAAAAATATTCACACCATATAATTGTTAGTGTAAAATATAAGATCATAAAATCATTCGTTAAACATAATCATATGATTCAAACAAACGATTCGAAATTAAAACAAATAAGATTGAAATTAAGAGAGAGAGCCTCATATAGAATTATTGGCCAAAATAAAAATATCACAAATAAATTTGAAAAGAAATTTTGAAAAGAAAGTGTGAATTATGAAGAATTGTGGATCGGTAGATTGTTGATGAATTGTGTAACACCCCAATTCTACCCCGACAATTATACATGCAAATCAGAGTTATAAACATTCATGCAAACGAATCAGGATGCCACAAATTCATCTTTAAAAACACATTGCATTCAACGTGGATACATAACACTTTAAAACTTCGGATGAACCATCAGCATATCAATTAAATCTCTTGAATCAACAATTTAACATCTACACAGCAGAATTCTTAATACCATCTTTATCATCGTTACATCAACTTCAAAACAACACATACTTAACAATAATCAACTTAAAGTTCAACAACTGAATAATCAACAATCAAAAGCAACAAGCGTTCATCCCCCCGAGTGTTACATATCAAAGCAATGACACCGACTCGAACTACTGAAGGTATACAACCTTCACTCTCGATTACCTGCATGTTACCAACGTAAGGGTAACATTCAAACAGAAGGGGTGAGATATCGAACAATATAATAAAACGTATGATAATTAATATATTAATTAGATCACATAACATCACCACTTCTCATCTCATAATCAACAATAACTACAACAGAAATACCAACTATAATACATATTCATCACATCAATTCACAACTTCTTTATGCAATCGTATAATGTGACTCAATACTATGCAAATGCATGTGATACCATTGGAGCAGAACTCCCATCTTAAAAATCTGCCAATAAATAGAGGCATCAACAAGGCATAAGCCTTCATCTTAATATTCGCCAATACATGCCATCTTAACGAGTATAAACTCCATCTTGAAATTCAATATATGCGACACAATCATGAATGTAATGACAACACCATAATTAACAACATCTCAACACAAACATCATCGTTGGTCATAAGCCTACATCTTAATAGCTGCCCATTATTAGAGGCATCTCAACATCTTTCATCAACATCGTTCATCAATATCAATTATAATCATAGATCATCAAACATCATTTATACATCATAGCTCATCAAACATCATCTCATTAATCATCATTTCATCAACAACTCAGCCGTATAGTAATACAACAGTAACTCGTCAATTCGCAACGTTGGCCATAGGCCTACATCATGATATTGCCTATAATTAATTGATCATCTAAGGCTTACTTATAAATTACCAAACCTCTACATATTACTATTCTATAATACTACATCATTCTCATCATTCATCCTACTATTACAACCCAAACAACGATCTATAACATCTCATCCTCATCATTCTTCACAAAACCAACATAGCGATTACCACGGAAACTAACTCTAATTCTAATTTGGATACTAGGATTATCCTTACTATTCTTCATTATAATCCTTAAGAATGAAGTTCTCTGCGTTAGCTATTCAACGCTTCGAACGACACCTCAAACGGAGTCCGAAAACTCAAGTTACAGTCTTTGGAAGACGAATCTGTCAAAAACCAGACAACATGGATCGACGCATAACGTCTTGGGTCGACGCGTACTGGGTTTAACACGCCACATGAGTCGATGCATACTCTCTTGTATCGACTCATACTGAGTCTGCAACACTGCATGTATTGATACATGCCCCTACGTATCGACTCATCCTGAGTCTGAAAGTCCTCGTGTATCGACACATGACTCCTTCGTGTCGACCCATACTGAGTCTAACAGCATTCCTGTATCGACACATACCATTTGGGGTCGACACATACCGCTCTGTCATGGATATTTTTCTGCAATTTCTCTGCGTTTTCACTACGGGTTCCATACTTTAAGCCCTAAAAACATAATCTAATCATAGATAATTATCACTTACAATTATCCTATAATTCTACATCAAATCAACAACTTTGGGACATCATTATTCATCTTTCAATCATCAATTTTCATCATACAACATCATATAATTCAAATCATAAACCAAACAATATTTCACCTCTAATCCCACATACCAATTATCATAAACCCTATTATAGAGTCAGAACCCCACCCTTACCTTGGATTGAAGGTTGCTCTATAACTTTCCGGTGGAATTTCCGTTCTGCTTCTTTTCCTCCTTTCCAACAGCTTTCACGTTCTTTCTCTTCCAACCCTTATTCTTCTACTGCTTCTTCTATTCTCCTTATTATTTCACAATAATAAAATAACCTATTATTCTCTTTATTCCTTAATGGGCTTAAGACTATTACACCCCCTTTATTTCTACTTCTATCCTTTAAAACAAGCCCACATTAAAATAATATTATTACTCTAATATTATTTCACCACTTAATAAAATAAATAAATCCAACTAATCATAAAACATCTTCACAAATATTTCAAAAATAATTTAATTAAATAATTAATTAAATTACGGGCGTTACAACTCTCCCCCACTTAGAATATTTTCGTCCTCGAAAATTTACCTGAATTAAACAACTCAGGATAGGAGTCTCGCATCTTGCTCTCCAACTCCCAAGTCATGCTTTCTCCGGCAGCCCCTAGCCAAACCACTTTAACCAAAGCAATCTCTCTACCCCTCAGAGTCTTTATTTCACGACCCGCAATCCGTACAGGCATTGTCTCCACCGTAAGATTATCCCATACTTGCACATCATCCATATGAATCACATGAGATGGATCTGGAATATACTTCCGGAGTTGCGACACATAAAACACATCATGCAAATTCGAAAGATTAGGTGGTAAAGCCACTCTATAAGAAACATTCCCCGCTCTCTCTGAAATCTGATATGGTCCAATAAAACGAGAAGTGAGCTTCTTAGACTTCAATGCTCGCCCAACACCAGTCACAGGTGTAACTCTTAAAAATACATGGTCACCCCCTTGAAATTCTAAGTCTTTCCTTCGCTTGTCATGATAACTCTTTTGTCTACTTTGGGAAGCTTTCATCTTTTCTCGAATCAACTTCACCTTCTCAATATTCTCACGAACAAGTTCAGGTACAAGTACCACACTTTCACCAGATTCATGCTAACATAAAGGAGTTCTACATCTTCGACCATAAAATACTTCAAAAGGTGCCATCTCAATACTGGAATGGTAACTGTTATTATAAGTGAAATCTATCAACGGAAGATAAGTATCCCACGAACCTCCCTGCTCAAGAACACATGCCCTCAATAAGTCTTCCAACGATTGAATAGTCCGTTCAGTCTGACCATCTGTCTGAGGATGATACACTGAACTCAACCTCAACTTAGAACCCAACGCTTCTTGCAAACTCTTCCAAAAATCAGAAGTAAATCTTGGATCTTTATCTAGCACAATGCATAAAGGAACACCATGCAACTTCACTATTACACTAATGTAAATCTCAGCCAACTTCGACACTGGAAAACTGATGTTAATAGGAATAAAATGAGCCGACTTCATAAGCCTATCAACAATCACCCAAATCGAATCATGTCCTCTTAAAGTATTAAGCAACCCTGTCACAAAGTCCATTGAAATGCTATCCCATTTCTATTTCGGAACTTCTAATGGTTGCATCAATCCTGCAGGCTTCTGATGTTCAACTTTCAACTTCTGACAAGTCAAACATGCATACACAAATCGAGCCACCTCACCCTTCATTCCAGGCCACTAAAACAGGCCTTTCAAATCTTGATACATCTTTGTAGCTCCTGGATGAATACTCAACTTACTTCTATGACTCTCTTCAAGTATCACTTTCTTCATCTCAGCATCACCAGAAATACAAATCCGGTTCTGAAACCTCAACACACCCTGCACATTTAGCTTAAAATCATTATTCTCAGACTGATCGATTCCAATCATCTAATCTACCAGTTTCACATCAAACTTCTAAGCTTCTCTGATACTGTTTAGAAATTCATTATTAATCTTCAACATACCCAACATAACACTCTACGGCGTAACCTCGCAAACTAAGCTCATATCT